TTTTAACCTATAGATTCCCAAAAATTTTAAAACGGGGCCCAATTTTGGGCAATTCTAAAAATTCTTTTTGGGCTTGGGTTCCCAAAATTTGCGTTTTGTTTTTGGGTTTTTCAGGGGAAAAAAATTTGTCCCCGGGGGGTTTTCCCAATTCAGATTTTGGTTTCAATTTTTCTTTTTGTACACTTTTAAAAATTTTTTTATTTTTGGGGAAAAACCATATAAATTCCATGATTTTTGTTAGGTGAAAATTTTACCGCGTTTAAAATTTTCTGATGTACATTTAAACACCCGAAAAATTTTGAAAATGGCACATCTTTATACATATTGTGTTTTTAAAAATACCACACCATTCAGAAAAAAAGAACATCGATGGGCACCCTTTCAAATGAAGTCCTTGTTTTAAAGGTTTTTTAATTACAGTATTAACTGGTCAATTGTCTTGCCCGTTAAAAAAACCCCGGACCATATTAAAAAAAAATTTTTTTTGTCGAAACTTAATTGTTTACGAAATGTCTAATAAAAATTTTTCTGTTTCCAAAAAAATTCCAAAACCCTCAGTGAAAAGGTCTGGGGAAAAAGGGTTTTGGGCTAATGTTGATTCAACCCACAAATTAAAAAATTCAGATGTTGTTTGACCGAAAAAACGTAAACTTTGGGCTATTTATTTAAACCCCTTGGGCCCTTTTTTTCGGAACAGAAGTAAATTTTTTTTGAAGAAATTAGTTCTACCGTTAAGCATTTTAAAAAAATTTTCATTAATCAAAAATTAATAAACATTTTACCATTAAGGGAAAATTTGTCTTATAATATATAAAATTTTCGGCTCGGGAAAATTTATCAACGCCCACAATTAATCTTCTTAAAAACGCCACACCGGCTGTTTTAAATCTCCACAAACCCTTTTTTTGAAAAATGTAAAAATCGTTTAAAAATTTTTTTAAACCGGTTAAATCAAAAGTCTTGAGGAATTTTCGGTTTGGGGAATAAAAAAATGGCAATAAGGTAAAACTCTATTTTTTTGGACCATTTTTAGCCACCCCAAAAATACCCCCCTGTTCACTTGTATATTATTTAAAAATTTTCACTAAAAAGGTGCCGGGATTTAAAAAAAAAAAACCCCCCCACCCGGCCCCGTTCTTCTTCGAAAGGAAGTTTACGATTATGGGCCAACCTATTGATACCCTGTAATATTTAAAAACTTTTTTTTCAGTCAAAAGTGTTTCATTTTTAAAGTCAATTTTTTTAAAAAACACGTTTCCCTAAAATAAAAAAATCACTTTACAAATTCATTAAAATAAATTCCCCAACATTTTCCAAAAAACCCGGGTTTATATAACAAACCTTGTAAACCCTCTATGACGGACCCCCCCGTTAACGCGGCCCGTCAAATTTCCCTTTATGTGTCCCCGTACCTGCCATCATTTTCCCTTCCCCTTTTCCCCACGATTTTTCCCCCGACGGTCGTGTTGTTTTTAGAAAGTTAAAAGGGGTTGTTTTTTGTTATCCCCCGAGGCTTTAGAAAGTCTCCCGTTTCGGTTGGGCACGTGTCTTCCCCCGTGGGCTGCGGCGTCCAATCAGTTTTATTCCTTTGGTTACGTGATCCCATGTCATCCTTACGAACAAAAAACGGACCCTCCCAAAAACGAGACAATGTTGCTTTTAGCGACCCCAAAAATGACAGGAAATAATAACCATCGTCCGTTCTGGGGTGTGGGTTTTATCATGACCCAAAAAAAAAAAGTTTTTTAAAATTGTCCAGAATTTATTTATAAAGATGTCTTATTTGCCTTTAAATTGCGTCTGTCCCCCATTGAACATTTGGTTTTAAATTTTCATTAGAAGATTTTTACGTTCAGGTTTCCCCGAAAAAGAAAATTTTTAAACCCCGACGTATCGATTTTTTGTTTTCTTTTGAGGATTCCCGGATTTTTTAAAAATTTAAAAAAATCAAAGGGTTTTACTGAAAATTTTGGGCCCCCCCGGAAAAACTTGGAAATTTTAATTTTTATTTCGGCCAAAATTTTCAGAAATCCCTCTTTTAGATTTCTCTCAAAGAAAATGTCAGTTTCCCCTTTTCTGCTTTTTTTTTGTCAACTCAGGAATGATTTCATAGAAAATTGGGCTGGTTTTGGGTTTTAAATTTTTTTTTTTGAGCTCTGTCTCTATTATTGGATTTTCAATGGTTTTATGTTTTTGACCAAAAAATACTTAAGGGTTTTTTTTTGACCTTTGTAAAAATCTTTACAACCTTCGACCCAGGTTAATTTGGTCAAAATTAAAAAAATGTCAAATCAAACGGGTTTCTATTTTATCAACATATAAACAATGAAATTTTTTGCTCCACTTTTTTTTCCAAAGCAAGTGAAATAGGGTTGGAAAAGTGTTATAATAAAGGGGGTTTAAAAAAGTTTTTTTTTTCCCCAAAAGTATGTTTTTTTATAAAAAGTTTATAAAAATTTACCCAGTACTCAAACCTTTTAATAAAAATTTTCAAAATATAGTGGTTTTGGGGGTTAAATTTATCTATTAATGGTTAAAACAAATATAATGTATTATATCTTTTTCAAAATTCTTTCCCTAATTGGGAAAATTTTTTTTTAAAAAAAAGACACAACCATCATTATAATTTTTTGGCCCGAGAAGGAAGGCATATAAAATTTGTATTTTAAAATTTATCGCTTTTTTTCCCGTCTTATCTTTGGCATTATTTTTATGAATTTTTAAAAAAATTTTCAATGTTGTGTTTATGTGTCAATGCAAAGGGCCCTGGGCTTTTAATCGAAAATCAAAATACTTGAAACCTAAAAAAAATTCCCAATTTAAAATGCAATTGCATTGATGATTGTGTCCTGTGAACAATTATGTCAGAATAGATTTTTAGAATTTATTGGCAGGACATTTAACATGATGATGTTGTTTTGCCCAAGACAGGGGTTTTTCTCTCTCTGTTTTCAAGAAAATAGTACCTGTACATGTAGGAATGGGAATTTTTGTGCTGTTTTCCTTTGTAGTAGGAACTTCAGGCAACTTTTTGCTGCACATTCACACATTAGTATCAATACTAATGTGGTTATCTTTTGGAAAAAAAAAACAAATTTAAATGGGATAATGTTGAAGGTGACCTGCTTTTGTAGATATTGGCTTGTAAAATTTAAAAAAAGGAAAGAAAAAAAAGTCCCTTTTATTTGTCCAAAGTCATATGAAATTTTCATGGAAGTGCATTAATAGTAGTGTTTCCTTGATTTATTTGAAAAAACTTTGCAAAAATTGGCTGGGCATGATGGCAATGTGTCACATGCCCAAATCAGGTTCCAAATCAATTTTGTCAAACCCTTTTATTTTCTTATGCATTTTTTAAAAAATTTTCACATAAATTTACAAGGAAATTAAATTTGCATGTGGTAAAAAAAAGGGGGACACCTGGGTTGTTGTGATTTTTTTACAAATCTGTGTTTTGCTAAATTGGTCTTAGACTTAAAATTTTTAAAAATAAAATTTAGTCAAAAATATTTGGGAAATTTCATTGAATATATATCCAAATCTTTGATGTAAAAAATTTAAACTACGGGTTGTTTTTAATATTTCTATTGAAGTTTCGGTCTTATAGGGTTTATTTCATTTTTGTAAAATGCTACCTGGAAATTTTTTGAAAATTTTTGGAAAAGGGGGATTTAAAGGTTAAAACCTTAGAAAGGGTTTAAAAAAATACGGCTTTAGTTATGTTAAACATAAATTTTTTTCCTGGGCTTATTGTCATCGTCCCTTTAATTTATTCAAAATGAGATATTTGGCCAAATTCTGAGACATTTCAAAAGTGATACAGCAACAATTGTTTTGTTTTTTGTAAGGTCAAAATTATGGTTTTCATATGGAAGAACGCACTTTATTTCATTGCAGAAATTCTGTTGAAGAAAAAATAAATGTCTTGAAAACTTTTTTATTGGATAGTTTTATGAGCAGAATTGATGCAAGAAGTTTCAAATTTACATGTAAACATGATACTAAGAATGTGTTGTTTTTAGCTCGAGTACTATTCGATAAGAATAAGTAGAGCTATTTATTGTAGTCACCCGAGCGTCGGCGTCGGCGTCTGCGTCGGCGTAACCACTTATGTTAAAGTTTTTGTAATACCTCAAATATTTTCAAAGTCCATTAACATATGGCTTTGAAACTTTGCACACTTGTTCACCATCATAACCCCAACCTGTGAACAGGAGGAGGTAACTCTATCAAGCTTTTTGACAGAATTATGTCCCTTTTTCGACTTAGAATGTACGTTAAAGTTTTTGTAATACCTCAAATATTTTCAAAGTCCGTTGACTTATGGCTTTGAAACTTTGCACACTTGTTCACCATCATGAACCCAACCTGTAGACAGGAGGAGGTAACTGTATCAAGCATTTTGACAGAACTATGCCCCTTTTTCGACTTACAATTAACGTTTAAGTTTTTGTAATAGCTCAAATATTTTCAAAGTCCATTGTTTGCATACCCCCCCAGACATTACATATTTTCTATCTGACAATCTGGCTTTTTAAAAAAAGTTGAAAATTTTATACTTTTCTTTGAGGCATAAAAAGGAAAAGGGTAAAAACTGTAAAATGGATTTAAAAAAAAAATTGCCCTTTTGTTAACTTAGAAAATTGTTCATTATCAAGGCTTTTTTCACTATCAAGCACTAAGAATAGTCGAGCGTTGCTGTCCTACCGACAGCTCTTGTTTCAAATACAGACACTGTATTTTGAGTGTTGAACTCTGTTTTAATATTTTCACTGGCAGAACTTTTCTATGTTATTCATCCTTAAATAGTACTGTGCGAATAACTTGTAATTTTTATCTTCCAATTCAAATATGTATGACAACGTTATATGGTTTTGAAATTAAAAAACTATGATCTTCAAACAATTAGCGTTAATTTTCAATCAGTTGAAAATTTGAGTACAACACTTATTTTATTTTTAAATTTTATTGAATCTTAATGAACATTTTTCTGTCAGATATATAAAAGTGTAACAAATCTGTTACCTATATGTATTATTAGTATTTTTTGTTTCTTTTCGAAAGAGCTACATGACTGCATTAACTATGATAGTGAGCTTCCGTATCGTTAAAAGTGAATCACTAAGTATGACTATTTGATAAAACCAAGCTATTATACGGCTTTCGATTGATTAAAACAGACTTTTTTGCTGGAAAGTGAAAAATAATATCAAAACAAAAACGAATAATACGGTTTACATTCAGAGTTGACACATTACAATGGGCTTCTAGATAATGAATATAAATGAGTAGAAAATGTTGAAATAAATGTAAATGAAGCATACAGCTGGCCATATGATAATTACTTTCATAAACAAGAAGACAAACTAAGTTTTACACTGCGACAATTTAGCAATTAAGTGAATCAAAATGAGTTTTTTTTTCAGCAGCATTTTTATCGTAACGATAAACGGGGGTATTTTCTTTATTACAAATATGGCAAAAAGCAGTTTGAGGTACTCTTTGAGAAGTTAAATGTGAACCTTTCACGAGTTGTATATATACATTACACCATGTATAACATCTTCTTGTCCATCTTCACCACAGATGCTTCAATCATATCTGATGTAGATAAGCACATATTCATATAAATAATCTTAAATTCAAAAGTTCTTCACAAACTAGTATGCGCACGTTTTTGCAATGTTTACCAGAACGAGCATTTACAAAATACGACAGGAACCATTCAAGCAATGATAAATCTACAGTTTTAAGCCATATATCTTAGTCATGGTGTGCTCCCCTGTCCCGTTTATTATCGGTTGTCCTTTATAGATATATGAATCATATGGCATTGTTAGCAAAGTTTGAAAGTTTTGCTTTTCGTATATCCTCTGGGAGAAGTTTGAGGTTCCTTCACCTTTGATAGCTTTAAATCCAAGTTCCCTGCTCATAGCAACTGCGGCCGCAAGGAGGCGCCCTCCTAATCCCATTCGTCGGTAATTTTTGTTGACACCTAATGCAAAGAAATGGATTGCTTCATCGCAGTCGTATTTTTCAAAGAAGTTTACTTCAGAGTCTTTGTGGGTAAGAAAGGTAAAAAGTCCTTTCAAAGGCTCATACTCCAAACCTGAGAAATCAGCAGGTGGATCCGATTTTCTCATGATACCAATTATTCTTATTCCCATTAACTCGTTTGTGTCTTTAGCGATCATGCATATTGAAACGTTTTGAATGAGATTTTCGTATGTAGTTTTCCTAAAGTCGTCATTCCATTTGACTCCAAATGACCGGCATAAAGGTTCGTCAGGAGTGAATTGATTTGCCATGATTTCAAAAGTTTCTTCATAGCGATCGCTTGTTATAATTGCAAGGTGTCCATTATCCATCTCATAATCTTTCTTTATTTTGTCTAAAGCCTGAAATTTAAAACCCATTACATTGTATTTGATTGAACAAACATTAATATTACTGAACGTGATTTTTATACAAATAGGATTAAATGTTTACATGACACAGAATATATAGACACATTAAAAATCGCAAATCTATTGCATTTAAATTTACAAAAAATAAATAAATGAAAATAAAGAAGTAATTCTTATCTATTTAGTTTAACCAGAATTCATTTTAGTCCGATTGAGCAGGAATCTATAAGCTTTATTCCTGTAACCAACAATTAGTAAGCAATGAATTGCTCAAGGAAACAATGGCTTGCCTCTGACGAGATCTGCTTCAACGCAGTAATCAATCTTTGGATTCACACTATGGCACAATTTGTATTTTTTGATAAATTTATATTTAAAATACATGCAAGTTTATTGTTTTCCACAAACAAACTTTCAAATAGAAAGATTATTGTTTACCTTTACAGCTTGATCTAAAGATATATCGCAAGGAGTACCCATGTTAGAACTCAAGTCTGTAAGAAAACAAACAAACTGTCATTCAAAAAATATCCAAAGCTCTTATTCATTGAAGAAATATAATAAAATAGAGAAAAACAAAATCCCAAAAGAAAGTTCAACACAACAAAATTGAAAACGTTGCAGGCTCGGTTTAATTGAGCCTGTTCATTGACGGTACTGGAAAGTGCAATTTACCGTCCACTCCCCCTAGCATCGGCTTAAGCAGAATTCAACATTTATCACGAAAATGGTTAAATTTTTAATTAAGAAACATCCGCAGAAGTTTTCATACGGAGGTTATCATGGAACCTCCAATGTGACATAGTAGTGCCTTTCCATGAAAAGCGGCGTATGGTCCCCAAATAAACGAATGATTTTGTCCTAAACGACAAAACAATGGGCGGAACTAAATAAAATGGAATTTAAAAAGTAGGCAACATATCCTTAGGGTGATTATACAGCATTCAAGTAGGAATACTGGAACCACCCAAGTTGAAAATGGCCAAATAGAAGAAACTAAAAGTACCACATAACATGTATACACAACAATAATGTCGTGCTGAACGATCATCAAGGATCGAAAATATAACATCATTGCTTAAATGTACGCGGAGGCTTTTTACAGCCGCCACACGGCACAAATAACACGGATGTGACAATAAAATAGAGAAAAGCAGAATCCCTAAAAAAAGTCTAACACAACAAAGTTGAAAATGTTGCAGGCTCGGTTTGAATGAACCTGTTCATGGACGGTACTGGAAAGCACCGGAACTTGAAATTCTTTAAAATATCCAATATTAATGATAATATCCAAATATACCCACTATATACTATAAATAAACAAAAGACAAATTTAAAAAGCAGGCAACATATCCTAAGGGCGATTATACAGTATTCAAATTGTAATGAAATACCGCTGTCAAAACATCTCAACCATGTTAATCAAATTATTGTTTAATGATATAATTTCTTTAGAAGCGCATCAAATCAAAAACTTATAAAATAAAGTTTGAACTGTAAGCTTACTAATGATACCTGTTGAAGTTATTTTTTTTTATTAGTCAATCAATACAACAGTTCGACGACATTTGCAATGTTTATATATAAACAATGTGTAAGAAGGCTAAGTAAAGTTCAAGTAACGATCAAATAAAGAAAAAACAGAATCCAAAAAATAAAATTGAAAATGTTGCAGGTTCGGTTCGATTGAGCCTGTTTATGGACGATACTGAAAAGTGCAAGTTACCTCCACGCCCTCTAGCGCCGGCATAATCAGAAATCATCATTTAAACACGAAATGGTAAAATTGTGAATTTAGAAACATCAGAACAGTCATCATATTTTAACTCGTTCGTAACTTTTTAACTTGTATGGTTTGTCTCTAAGTCAATACGGTGATTTTTTTGTGGTATAAAAGAATGGCTCTAGACATGAGAGAGCATAGATGCTACAGCAAACAACAACCTTAAAAACGAACATTTACTAAAACCAATAAGCCATTTTTAATCTCAGACAATGGTTTTTTATGTCAGCAGCAGGCAAAATCGATTTGTCTTTAAGTAGCCGTTTTCTGCCAATATACTATTGTAAGGCTTAAAAATGGTTGCATTGATTTTAGCGAAATCACATATTTGATTGTATAACAGGCCTTTATAATAAATATACTATATTTGCTTGAATAAATGCTGTCCCTTTAATGTTTTATCAACAGACAAATACCCTGTCAAATTTACTAACTTTTTATTGATATAAATAAATTTTTATTACACACCCGTGCCGATTTTGCGACTCCGTAAAAAATGGTATTGCACGGCCTTGCATATATTTTGACGTGACGTCATTAGCGTTATACAAACATAGTGAAAAGACGCGCTAAATGTTAGCGTTATACTATAGGCATGTCAATGAAAAATGATTCTGATTTCACTTTAAACGGTCTTTATTTTGGGTATGTGATAAACAGAATATTCAATTCGTGTAAGTTCATTACTGAATTTATTGCACTCGTTGAATAAAATAATATAATGCTCGCCAAAAGCTCGCATAATATAATTTTATTCAACTCGTGCAATAAATTCAGTATTGAACTTACACTCATTCAATATCCTCTATATATATACGATATTTAGCTTTGATCATTTTCAAAAAAGTTATATCGTGGAGATTTAATATCAAATTTGTAACGGTTTTAAGATGATTATTCTAACTCGTTTTTATCGCATATCAGTTAAGCCGGTATTTGATAATATCACACAAGAGACATTCTTTCATTATGCTTTGATTGTCATCATCTCCGGTTTAATTGGGATATACATGTGTCGAAAATTGTAATTTTAGAATTATGTATTTTTAGACTAGCAAGACATTATTTTATTTGTATGCATTTCTATGTAACACGAAAACCTTTAAATACATATTGCAATTTTCTTCCTGTTATAAAAAAGAAACAAAGGCGAAATGTAAACTAATCAGGTATTTCTACAACATACCTTTGGAATATGGAATATATCGTACAATGTTTTGTTGACTATAATTTTGTTTGTTTGTTTGTTTGGATTTTTACGGCACGTCAACACATAACTGGCCATATCGTGCCGAATGCTATTAAAGGCTTAAAATGTTATGTAAAACTTTGTTAATGACAATAGAAATGAACCAATTAGATCCTAGAATACAAGTTTATTTCTTTCAAATAATCAATTATTTATTTTGATGGAATTGTATTAAAAAGTTCTTTGAGTGAATTTACAGAATAAAATCTATTACGGGCCTGTGAAAAATCATGACATTCAAGAAGAAAATGCTTGACAGTAAAATTTGCATTACAACCTACACAGAAAGGGGCATTGTCATTTGTAAGGAGATAAGAGTGGGTAATTTTAGTGTGTCCAATTCGGCATCGAAGAAGAACTGTTTGATCACGGCGGTTCGACAGAGATAGAAATGGTGACACATCAAATGTGCATTTACTGGTAGCTGTAGATATGTTTGATAACTTACGTGTAAATTTAAAACTTAAATTATGAACATCCTAATGTATTATATCCGCTCAATTAGGCGAGAATTACTGTTAACTGCACTGAAAGTTTAAACCACAGAACGGTCAACATTTTTTCCTTTTTTTTAAAAAAAAACATTATTTCAGTATATCTCATATATCTTTTGGAAAGAAAAACATGTTTAATTTTAATTATATAATCCTTCCAAGGATATCATGGCCACTTATGCTGTACGAAATTACATTGACAACAGTTGAGAAGCTTGAAAGAACCATCAACAGACATCTTAGGAAATGGTTAGGTGTCCCTCCAAGTTTTACAACTGTAGGACTGTACAGCAGAACCGCAAAGTTGCAGCTACCATTTACATCTCTAGTGGAAGAATTCAAAGTTAGTAAAAGCCGCCTTGTGATGACACTGAAAGAATCTAGAGATGATAAAGTAAGAACAGCAGGTGTCCAAGTAAGAACAGGTCGAAAGTGGTCAGCATCAAAAGCAGTTTCAGAGGCAGAGAGTAGATTGAGGCATAAAGATATTGTAGGAACAGTGGCAGTAGGACGACAGGGCCTTGGTACATCAAAAAGTTGCTACTGGAAGAACGCTAACACCCAAGAAAGACGAAGTCTTGTCCAAAGAGAGATAAAATCTAGAGAAGAAGAAAACAGACAAGCAAAGACAGTAGAAATTAGGGAGCCAAGGCGCTTGGTCGAGATGGGAATTGGAACAACGATCCCTAACATGGTCAGATATATGGCGATATCCGCAATACCAACTGCAGTTCCTTCTGAGATCAGTGTATGATGTGTTACCGACACCTTCAAATCTGCACAGGTGGAAACTTTCAGAAACACCAGATTGTCCCTTGTGCGGAAAGAGAGGAACTCTACAACATGTTCTTTCAGGGTGCAATATCGCTCTTACACAGGGGAGATATACATGGCGACACAACCAAGTACTCGAGAACTCGCTGAAGTGATAGAGAAACAGAGGAAAGATGCAAAACACATTAGAAACAAACCTATGAAGATCCAGTTTGTGAAGGAGGGTGAAGTAGGCCAGGAAAGTAAAAAGATCATATCAGGAATCCTAAATCAGGCAAGGGATTGGCAGTTAGAAGTTGATCTAGGAAAGAAGATGCAATTTCCTGATATTGTACCAACCAACCTAAGACCAGACATGGTACTTTGGTCTACAAGCAGTAAAAAGATAATAATCATAGAGTTGACAGTTCCCTGGGAGGAGAGATGTGGCGAAGCAAATGAAAGAAAGAGGGCAAAATATGATGGACTGTTGGCAGAGTGCAGAGATATAGGATGGCAGACATGGAACTTTCCTGTTGAGGTTGGCTGCAGAGGCTTCCCTGCACAGTCAGTGTGGAGAATGTTTTCTGCAGTGGGAGTGACTGGCCAGAATAGAAGAGCAGCAATCAAGAAACTGGGCCAAGCAGCAGAGAAAGCATCTTGCTGGATATGGATGAAGAGAGACAGTAGTAGCTGGAAACCCACCACCAATGCGCAGTGATTGATCACCACTGTGGACCCCCCATCCTGAGAGTGTACCGAGCTAGGGGTCGAAACACATGATGACGGATGGCCTCGGCTGAGGACATTGATGGTGTTTGCAGTTATTCCACCAGTACTGTATGTAAGTAACTTGTAATCTGGACCTACCAGTGACTGCTGGGAAAGACCGGCTGACAACCATGAATAGGATGGTGACGTCTGGAGAGACAGATGGCATTCAGGGAAGACTGAAACCAGGGTGTGAAGTGTTGGCATCCCAACACACGGTTCATGTGAAGGAACACCATACCAAGCTACAGAACAGAATAAAGAGCAATACCCCCAGGGTCTTCCGAGAGGGGGGAGGATGAGAGACCCATTGAGCAGGATAAAACGGTAACAACTCGGCTAATCCAACGGACTTTGACTGGAACAACGGCAGAAACCAAGTGTCATTGTGGGAAAGTTTGCAAGAACTTAAAAGGTCTGAAGATACACCAGGCAAGAACTAA